GGGGGTCTAAGGTATCAAAACATCCTGTCACCTTTCTTCTCTTCCATTTGGTTCCAATTGAGTCAAATTCCAAGATAAACTATGAATGCATAAGAGTTCACAGTTGAAGACAATAATTCAAACCATTGCACACATCACATTTCTCTACACGTTAAACCCACTTAGCTTGATCACATAGCAGTTGGAAGTTAAATTTTTTAAAGTCTCACAATATATTAAACAGTCTTTACGTTTTGAAAACGGCGCAAATCCCGCCTATACAGTTGCTCGCACCAAAACTGATTACCATTCCGTTAAAGTTGACATCCCAGAGAAGCATGTTCCCGTGGTGAGTGGCTGGTCCGTTGAGGTAGAGAGCCAGGGAGTCCACGCAGTGGGGGGAGGCACACATCCGTTGTAGGTGGTACCTCAGGGCCAGTTTCATGGCGGCTGGGTGAGCGGTTTGCCGGGGCTCCCTCTCGACTGTTGACCAAAGGAAAAAATAAATACAGTCACTGATATAGGACAACCACCTATTGTCGAGAGGACAAGTGGTCAGCTTGATTCAATAGGTGGTGCTCTTGGACAGCATCATTATTATATGAGGCATCGTGGTGAAATCAGGCGCTCGCCACAATAATGGAATCTAAGAAACTGTCACTTTTCCTCCAGTTTGGCTATTTTTATTGGATTTGTGTGGTTCTGCTCAACGTCTTATCTGTCCATTTAAAAAGAGTTTTCTGTATGGAAATCACCGAAAATGTCAATTAAAGGCACAAAAATGTAAATGTTCAGTTTCCAAGAACTCTCAAGACATGGAAGTGACCGAACTTTGGAGGCCATTTTCTTGTTAATTTGACCCCTGAAACCAGGCGACCCCACCTCCTTCAAGTGCAAATATCTCAACTTTTATTCAAGTTAGATGTTTATTTTTTTACCAAATGCAAGACAAAAGAGCAGACTTTATGATGTTACCAGTAACTCCATATGCCCCAACATTGACGAGCGCCTGATTCCACTGCGTCGCATCACATATCATCAGTACAGTCGAACTTATATTAGGACGACAACCCGTTGTTGAGGGGAAAATTGGTCATCTAGAATAGGTAGTCCTCTTGGACAGTGTTATTACCATTAATATAATATATTTTTAAAAAAACGCAAGTGGTGAAATGAAAAGTGACAAGTTCCTTGTACAAGGGATTGTCTTGGGCAGTTTGTCATTAGAGCAGGCTCCACTGAGTTAGATATTTTTTTGGTCGCTATTCAGTGGCGACCGGGTGAGTTTACTTCATTCTGTTTCCATCTTAACCATCTTGTTACAAGTATTCATAGGACCTTAGAGCAAGCATCAGAATAACATTGAGTATGTACCTAGGTTAAGATTATTATTGTTTATATTACTGCTCATGTATATTATGCATGATGTGACTGTAAGCCTAGGTGCATGTGTGTGTATGTGTGTGTGTGTGTGTGTGTGTGTGTGTGAAGAAGAGAGAGAGAGAGTGTGTGGGTTCGTATGTGCATGTGTGTATGTGATTTGTGTGAGTGTGTGTGTGTGTGTGTGTGTGTGTGTGTGTGTGTGTAATTTCAGATAGGCCTACAGTCTGGACTAGATAAAATGAATTTGTTGTTCTTTTGTTCCTCGCATTGTATAGTCTCCATTTTAACCAGCACGATCGTTCTTGTAGTCCCCATGCAAAATAACACAACAAAACACCAATTATAACATTTGACCAGCCTTTGTGGTGGAAAGTGTTGAAAATCATTGAAGGCGAGCCTGAAAATAGTGTTTGCTGTGTTTAGAACCGCTTCATGTGGAAATGAGCTTCCTCGCGTGCATCGGGCATCTCACTAGAAGTCGAAGATACTCAGTCTAGCCGTGAAGGTTCAAGTGAAAATTACTCTCTACCAGATATTTTTTCAAAACATCGATGCCGCAACACCTGATTCACCGGCAAAGGATGCCCAGGATATGATGGCTGTTACCAAGTTTCTTTATGAGAGAAATCCGTTGGCTGAAGACG